ACGCGCATTTAAAAGGGTATATTAGGTGAGGTAGGCGAGCGAGCAGGGATCTTAAAATTTTCCAGGGGTACCAAATTTCATTCCTTCATTAAGTTGAATGATAAAAAATTTAATGGGGGGCTGGGATTCTTTTATCTGACCCACGACGATTAAGAAAACCTAAAATGCATAACAAGTTTTGTCAACAGAACTAGCAAAAATATGACATTTTCTCAGTTGTAAAAACAAATGTATTCAATGCATCCTCTGATTCTTAGAAAGGACTTTGAGACTTAAAAAATTGGAACCTAATGGCATTTAATTTATTCACAACCCAATAGGTAATTATATGATACACATAATAAAAGTGAATACCCACTATAATAAGCAGTGAGGCTATAGGAGGCATTTCCCTCAAATTATGAAGATATAGGCTCAGTCTGCAATTCAAACTATCACAAAATAAGCGAAGAGTATTTTATAACATTTTAAATATTTAGTTTTACTATTAAAGGGATAGTTGTGCCATTTTGCGAGGTTGATTTGAGTCTTGATGTAAATGGCCTTCAGAAATACTACAAAGTAAGAAAATCGTATAGTATACTTCAAATACTTCAAACTAAGAATTTTACTCACTATTTCTATATAAGTATTACAGTGCATCTTAAAATGACGAGTCGTCATTTTATATTGAAACGCAGATAATTCTGGACACACATGGATATGAAGGCTAAAATTTCGATGATGAGCTGTGAACACTATTTCTTAATTGGCTAGTTTAAAAGACTAAAACGGATGGCAAACCTGTACCTTTAAGAAAGAAACATGAAATATACAAATTTAAATATCTGAAACTGTATTTTAATCAGAAATTATATGGCTCCACCAGAAAAACTGTTAAAGTTTATTGTTTTCCAATAAAATTTTTCTTAATGAAAAATGTGGGACTTGTACTACACAGCTAGTATGAGAAAGAAATTGCCTCCTACTTCGTACAAAAAATGTAAAATGACTAGACACAGCATACATTATAAATATACAATTAATGTTTTAAACACAAGTAATAATAATAATAATAATAGCAATGTTTCAAACATAAATAACCACATCCCAAACATAAACTTAACATTATTTCAACAATTTCATTTACAGTTTTCAAACAAAGAATAATAAAGGATTTTCATTAGCACTGGCATAAAAAAATCAAATTTTGAAAATGACAGGATCGATTGCATTTTTTTCAAAAGATTTTTTTTTTGCTTACAGCAAGAAGTTATGTCAGTAATTGAATGTCCTTTGGGTCGAATTAGATGCGATTCAATTATTTTTTTAGTTTTTTAAGAGCTATTTTCATGATAGCTTTAAGAGATTTTTTAGAGTTACTTTTCAGATAGCTTTAAGGTCTATTTTAAGAGTTATTATAGCTTTAAGAGTTATTTTTAGAATTATTTTCATGATAGCTTTAAGAGTTACTTTCATGATAGCTTTAAGAGTTATTTTCATGATAGCTTTAAGATCTATTTTAAACATGGAAATCACAAAGATTTAAAATTTACAGATGAGAATTTCAACAGAGATCAATACAATTTGGTGCAGGCTAATCACATATTTTTTCTTTAACTAAAGCTACAACCATTTTCTAAATACTGGCGCCAATCTACATCAAGGCATAATTTAATTAACAATCAAGGCAAAAGTTATTAGTCACAGACTTATCAGGAATCACTGGCCAAAATGGGTTAAAAAAGTCATTGGTAATTCACAAATTGGAGCAAAATTCCTCCTGTTAATCAAAAGCCCAGCATGCCTATTGATAGAAAACAGAACCAGGGCTGTTGATTTGGCCACATTTGCCAGACATGTGTGTTTGTCCTTCTTAAATGCTGTTACAGAACTCTTAGAAATTTTTTGCATGCAGGGAAGATAGAGAAAGGACTAAATTATTATAAGATGCACAGAGCTCCAAACACAACATTGTGAATTACCAGACATAGTTTGGTTTTGCCCAACTTTGACCAAAATAATCCGCATTACAACAAATCACTCATTCTACTCAACTACAATTTAATTTACAAATCTAGAAATATTTTACTTTTTCTATTAACAAGTTATTTTATCTTAGAAATAACTTATCATATTGAGAAATTTATTACTTCTTGTGTAATAAAACTAAGGAGTAGAATACCATAAAATTGTGTCAGTTATCTAGAAATACACTATTCCACTTTATCTAGAAATAGGTTATTTATATCTAGAAATAAGTTATGGTTATCTAGAAATAATTTATTGTTATATAGAAATAAGTGATCGTTATCTAGAAATAAGTTTTTGTTATCTAGAAATAAGTTATTGTTTTCTAGAAATAAGTTAATTACTATCTAGAAATAAGTGATCGTTATCTAGAAATAAGTTAATTACTATCTAGAAATAAGTAATTTTTATATAGAAATAAGTTGTTGTTGTCTAGAAATAAGTTATTGTTATATAGAAATAAGTTGTTGTTGTCTAGAAATAAGTTATTGTTTTCTAGAAATAAGTTAATTACTATCTAGAAATAAGTGATCGTTATCTAGAAATAAGTTAATTACTATCTAGAAATAAGTAATTTTTATATAGAAATAAGTTGTTGTTGTCTAGAAATAAGTTATTGTTATATAGAAATAAGTTGTTGTTGTCTAGAAATAAGTTGTTGTCTAGAAATAAGTTATTGTTATATAGAAATAAGTGAACGTTATCTAGAAATAAGTTAATTACTATCTAGAAATAAGTAATTTTTATATAGAAATAAGTTGTTGTCTAGAAATATGTTGTTGTCTAGAAATAAGTTGTTGTCTAGAAATAAGTTATTGTTATATAGAAATAAGTGAACGTTATCTAGAAATAAGTTAATTACTATCTAGAAATAAGTAATTTTTATATAGAAATAAGTTGTTGTCTAGAAATATGTTGTTGTCTAGAAATAAGTTATTGTTATATAGAAATAAGCTGTTGTTATCTAGAAATAAGTTGTTATCTAGAAATAAGTTGTTGTTATCTAGAAATAAGTTATTGTTATCTAGAAATAAGTTATTGTTTTCTAGTAATAATTTCTTTCATCTAGAAAGAAGATATTTTATTCAGTAAAGAATTCAGTTGTGAAATATTTCAGTACTACTTTTACATTATATTTCCTGATCAATCTAGAATACATTTAGTACATTTAAGAAAATAAATGAGGGAATTTGTATAATTTTCAAAACTATATTAACAAAGAATAAATTAATATTTACATATTGCAAACTTGAAAATAATTACTTAAACTAAAAATTTTGGCAGGTAGTTTTTTTGTGTTAAAAATTTCAATGGCAGTTTGAATTTTTAAAAATTTCATTCCACTAGTTAAGAAATAATGGTTATTATATTGTTTAAAGAATACAACCTTTTAGAATTCACGTAACATTTAAAATTTCAACTTGGTTATCAAGTGTATATAATCATTAGTTGGATTTACCAGTACAGGTGTCATGACTAAAGAATAGAATCTCTATATAAGGCGATATATCCATTACACTATATAATTCTTGATACACTTGCTAAGTATGTTTAAAAAAAATACCTTAGTTTAATGAATCATTACTTTATTTTATGGATTTATTGGATTATTAAAGGATTCTGTTGTATAGTTATGACACTAGGTTAGTCCACTGATGAACAAAGACTCATTTAACCCAGTTCAAAAATTTCAATCTTTTGGTCATCCTAAGAGGTAATATACCTTTAAGGTTAACTTCAGAATAATATAGAATTGAAGATGTTGATGGTATATAAATGATAGGAAGAAACAAAATGATATTATACAACACAATGATACATAAATTAAACACAAAATAAATTACTGGCACCTCAATTACTATTAACACATAAATATAGTTTCTTGTACATACTTTCATATCTTATATTGATAAATAGTGAATTACTGTACACATTGCTATGGATAACCATTAGAAACATGGACACAATTCTATGTACATGATTGGTTCATATGATATATGTATGATATAACAGTATCGTGAAAGTGAAATATTGGACACCATTCTACAGATAACAAAGTACATAAGCTATGGATAACAATATACATTAGATATTATACATATGTAGACACAATCGCATGGATAACAATGTACATTTCCTTAATTGGTATATACTTATTGGATAACAGGAAGAGTAATAATCTATGACTGAAGATGTGGCCTCTCAATATATAGCATTAATTACACAAGGTTTCAAAACTTTTTTTTTTGAGCAATTAGGTTCTGATTTTCAAAAGATGTTATGTCTTCATATGTCATATCTTATTCTTTAGGTCCACTAAATCAAAACTGTGATTCCAAAAAAAACAACTTATGGATCTACAGATTGCTTCCCATAAAGCAAACATGAACAAACTATATTAATGCTTACACAATTGTCCATCCAAATGTGATTCAATCCAAATTATAAAGATCTTAAGTAACCAAATGCCTAGCAGTTGAAAACAAAAAATTGCACTTAGAAGTAAAAATATACAGCAATGTCCAGAATATATTAGCACTTCATGAAAATAAGCATGAGGCAAGCTGGCAAACACTTAAATGTAACATACATACTTAAATTTATATAATTTTAACACATTAGCATCACATTTAAGTCCTGGTCAAGTTTTCACTCTATAGCAACATGTAATACACTGTTTAAACTGAGTCCTGACTCATATCATATAGGTGGTGCTTGATTAGAGAGTTCTGAACAAGTGCAATCTGTTCCAATACTGCCCCCAATCGCATTGAATGAAACTGATCTATTTCCTTTTCCGCCATTTTGAATTCAGTCTGCACCTACTATTTTTTCGGCATACATGAAATGCATTCTGAATTCTGCTCCAACTTTATTGAATGCTCAGTTGATTCCATAAATCCTAAACATGCAGAACTCACCAATCCAGCAGCCCATTCATATCTTAAGCTCTTACACTGTACAGTTATGACAAAGAGTATTGTAACCAATCATGATGAGTCAGTTTTCATCGAATCAGCTTTCATCTTTTTCACATAACTCATTGGTGAGAGGGCAAATCCTTTAGCGAGCATGATTTGTTCCAAGTCTTTATCTTCGGCACTTTCTCTGCAAAAACAACGTTCAAATGTAAGATTTTTAATTTTCAGTGACAGGTAATTGTTACGTTTAGTAAAAACAATCAAGCTGAAAAAACAATATAACACCTTTCATTACAGTTTCAAACATATTAGTAAAATGGGAAAGAACACCAAACACAGGATATCAAACTCTTTCACATGTTAAAGGAATACTATGTCTTACAATGAACATAAAATTTAAGTATTTTAAACTTGGCCAATAAGAGCATATATTCATCAGCAGATATACATGGTGTCATAAATAACATAACAAGATCCTTATATAATCAGATAAATCCAAAAAACTTAGTAATTATCCATAAAAATGTATTTAACTTTATGACACCAGGTAAGTTCACTGATGAATATATATTCATATTGACCATTCTTGAGAATTAAATTTTACGTTCATTCTAAGACGTAGTATCACTTTAACTAAAGTTTTAACTAAAAGGGATTGTAAGGAGATTTTCTAGCCTTTTTATGTGTATCAGGGACACCTTTTGACTTCTATTTAGAACATTCCAGTTCTTCGTCCAATGTCTGTGGTTCGTGCGATTCCAGAAAGAGTTATACTACTTCTTCTGGACTAACTTGATTTATCATAAATAAGGATATTTTGCCCTCTGACTTGTACAAAAATCGTACAACATTTTGCATTTCAATAAAACTAAACAATATAAGGCCTATTAAAGAGTTTTATAAGGCAACAGTGAAGCAATATGTGAATGCCAGAGAAGCATCATTTCTGGTTAACTTTCTGGAATTGCATGAACCACAGACATTAGATGAAGAATTGGAATGTCCTAAATAGAAATTGTCCACGATACACATCAAAAAGGCTAGAAAACCTCTTTACAATCCCTTTTAGTTTATTTGGCAGAAGTTAAGATTGTTTCTTTTTAGTTTTGTGCTATAAAATTGAAATTAAGAGATCAAATGAGGTTGTTCCCATTCTAATGAGAGCAAACAACATCTTTCAACAGATACTTCTAATTCATATCCTACACATTTAATATTATAAAGCAATAAAGATATTTTTGTCTAAAAGGCTTGAGAGAAAATACTTAATTCTGAATCTATTATAAAACATATCAAAATGCTTCTAAAAGTGACTAATCATTCAAAACAATGCAAAGACAAATTCTGTTTTTCTATTAAGAGGTAGATCAGTTTGCTAAAACTTGATTCTTTTTCACAATTCTGTAGTTGTGTCATCACAAATTTCAAAATTCTTGTAACATCAGATAGTATTTGGAAATACCTTATTAAAAGGATACTACTCTTAGAATGGACATTAAATTGAAAGTCTCAAACTTGGTCAACAAGTGTATATATTAATCAGGTGAACTTACCAGTTGCCATGACTAAAGAATAGATTCTCTATACAAGGCCATATATCCAATAATAAATTATTACTTAGTTTTATGTATTTATTGGATTATAGAGGGATTCTGTTGGATAGTTATGACACCATGTAAGTTCACTGATAAAGAAAGACTCATTTTAGCCCAGTTTAAAAATTTCAGTTTTTAGGTCATTCTTAGAGGTAGTGTACCTTTAAGATCATGAGAATGTAAAGAACAGAAGAAAAGAATTTGGATCAGTGAGCACCCCATACAAAATGGCAGCAATTGTAAGCCAACAACTGCATTCTTGAGTATATTTGGCTACTTTAATGTTTAAATCATTTTATATTCAATATGATATCCAAAAGCATACTAAAATTTTACATTATTGTGCTCAATTGACAAAGGCTCATCTATACCATAGTTTATGAGTCAGTAAGTTCTCTGGAACGGAACAAGAATGAAAAGTCAATATGGATTACTTTGGCATATTTCTTTTCAAATTTGAAATGGAATAAAAATGTCTGGTCTAAAACTCAATACGTGGGTTGCACTTGGTCTGCTGTCTTCACAATACACTACCTTAAACGATCTTCTTCCAACATGGCTACTAACGAATCTCTTTGTTCTACAACTTGTAGTAATTCATCTAGAATTTTCTTTTCTTCATCGATTTGTTCATCTTCTTTCCCACCTCCTGAAATCATTCCACATTCAAAACATAGCAAGACATGCACGGATGCTCATTCACAAAATAACACTGGTAAATCAAAACAGTTACTTTGTAACTTACTGAGTAAAACCATGCAGTGCACAATAAAGGAAATTTTGTCAGAATGGAGATGATAACTTGGCGTCATTAATCGTGAGAGCCTTATGTCATAGAAGCATATTTTGCAATTAACAATGTCATCAATCACTTAGTTTTTGTGGAATTGCAGGAACTACCAACGTCTGATTGAAAATTGGAATGGTGCAAATTAATGCTGTCAGTGTCCCTGTTACATGTAAAATTTATAGAAAACCTATTCACCATCCCTTTTATTTTGAAAAAAATTGCTACAGAGCACCATCAAGTTGTAAACAGAAAATCACATGCAAACAGATTGACAAGTTGAAATTAGATTACATGCCATAGCATAGCACAAAATACTAAACAGTAATTCATTCAAATTTTCAATCTTTTGAGAACATTTATACTAATATTTTTTTAAACTTTCAATCTTTTGAGAACATTTATACTAATAATTTTTTAAAACTTTCAATCTTTTGAGAGCATTTATACTAATAATTTTTTAAAACTTTCAATTTTTTGAGAGCATTTATACTTATATTTTTTAAAACTTTCAATCTTTTGAGAGACATTCATACTAATAATTTTCTAAAACTTTCATTCTTTTGAGAACATTTATACTAATAATGATTTAAAACTTTCAATCTTTTGAGAGCATTAACACTAATAAGTTTTTACAACTTTCAACCTTTGAGAGCATTTATACTAATAATTTTTTAAAACTTTCAATCTTTTGAGAGCAATTATACTAATTAGTTTTTAAAATTTTCAATCTTTTAAGAGCATTTATACTAAAAAGTTTTTACAAATTTCAATCATTTGAGAGCATTTATACTAAAAAGTTTTTAAAAATCTCAATCTTTTGAGAGCATTTATACTAATTAGTTTTTAAAACTTTCAATCTTTTGAGAGCATTTATACTAGTAAGTTTTTAAAACTTTCAATCTTTTGAGAGCATTTATACTAAAAAGTTTTTAAAACTTTCAATCTTTTGAGAGCATTTATACTAGTAAGTTTTTAAAACTTTCAATCTTTTGAGAGCATTTATACTAATTAGTTTTTAAAACTTTCAATCTTTTGAGAGCATTTATACTAGTAAGTTTTTAAAACTTTCAATCTTTTGAGAGCATTTATACTAAAAAGTTTTTAAAATTTTCAATCTTTTAAGAGCATTTATACTAAAAAGTTTTTAAAACTTTCAATCTTTTGAGAGCATTTATACTAGTAAGTTTTTAAAAATTTGAATCTTTTGAGAGTATTTATACTAATTAGTTTTTAAAACTTTCAAACTTTTAAAAGCATTTATACTTATAATTTTTTAAAACTTTCAATCTTTTGAGAGCATTAATACTAATAATTTTTTTTTCAAATTTTACAATTTTGACTGAATAGTCTGTCTTTGTATGGCCAGGTTTGATAAAATCGAAGCCAAGTACAATGTGTATCCCATGATGCATTGAACCAAAAATTCCTATCACTAAGTCTAAATATATTGTCAACAATGACAAGAAAGCCATTTCTAATAGTTGTCACCTAAAGTTATGAATTTGTCAAATGGAACAATGATGTAGGTAACAAAAGTGATATGACTTCTGGATCAAGGGGTTATTTTTAGACCGACTAGTCCACCTATGAGATATCAAAAAGTAATAAACTGATGAATGATGTACTGGTATATAAATTAGTACTTTATTTGTTACCTTCTATAGACATTCTATCCCGTAGTAAATTATTTAATCTGGCTTGTCTATCTTCTAGTTCTAGCTCTCTAGCTCTGGAAAATAAAAACAGTGTCAAATTTTTCTAATATCGCGTAATTTCTAACTTATACAGTGTGAAAATAGTTTCAAATAAAATGTTCATCCAGTATAATTTAAAAACCCAAGTGCTAATGATTTGAACTGAAAACACGAAACCTGAAATTCAAATTGACATAGCTGTTGACATAATATAAGAGCAAAATATTGTTGGTATAGATACTTACTGTATCATAAGAGAGGATTCAAAGCGGACTATGGTGTTCTTCTCATGGACTAAATTAAACCATTCCTGCATCAGATCAGCATCATCTTTACCAGATTCTACAGAAAGCAATAGAACATTTTGCATGTATATTGTGAAAAAGTAATCCTACATTTACTCTTATTCAATAACAAGGAATAAATTTGGTAATATTAGATCTCATTGGTCATTATCATAGCCACACCTATTATCATAGGAATTTTCAAGTTTAACCCTGTGACAGTGACAGTGCCAGTGGGCGGTTTAAGGGTGCCCCCTAGAAAAAATGCAGTCACTTCATTTTTTAAAAATTTTAGAAATATGTGAATCAATGCTTTTTCTTTAAAATTTCTCAGCATTTTCCAGACATTCCATTGGAGGCTGGCACTGGCACTTTTGAATTCAACTTCAACAATTGTCCCCCAATTCAGTCAGTCTACCCTTAATTTTACCCTGCAGTCCTGGGAAGCTGGCACTACCACTGTCCTGTGATAATGGAATTCCAGTAGCAGTGACCAAGGATCTAAGACTTCAAGGCCAAACCTGGCTTTTGCTAAAACTTCCAAGCACCTGATAAAGGGACCTTACAAATCCTATCATGGATCTAAGCAAGAGTTATATAGCAAAATCAATACCCTCTTTGTATAAAGATTAATACAATTTAGTACCTCTTAGATCTTTCTCTACTTGTATGCCTCTCTCTTCCAGCTCCTTCTGTTTGACCTCCACTTCCTCAAGCTGTCTCTGTAGCTCCTGGGCCATACGTAATCGTTTCTGTTCATTTAGTTTCTGTTGCTTAATAATAGCTTTTTGTCTCCTTCTAGCTCGTCTAGCATCACCATCTAAATCCATGGACATGGACATATGGTTATCTCGCCGTCTTGAATGAACTGTACTAGTGGACATAATACTTTCATCAGAATCTGAGAACTCATCAACTGTAAAACATTAAAATTCTGTGAGTCAACAGGCAGTGTGTTTATTGCTAGAAATGTCCACTTCAGCAAGCAATTGGGAAAAGGAACTACTTAGTTGCACATCATTTTCAGAGAGCCATCAAACACAGGACATGCTCTGGACCATAAACTTTCAGCTTTCAATTTTGAATTTGAATAGTTAGATATAAGGAGACTGACAGATATTTTTCATCAGATCACATTCAAGATCTTTATCTTCAGATCACATTCAAGATCTTTATCTTCAGATCACATTCAAGATCTTTATCATGCCTGCCAGTAATTTTAAGGATGCCGGCACATGAACAGTCTTGTTCACCAATTTATTTTACCTGACTCGAATCTTGAGTAAAATCTTGTACCAGAACTTCCACGATAAGATTATCACTTCGCCCGCAAATATCAGTTAAGATTGATATTTGGAGATTTTTGTCTCCTCATATGCCTGCAGCCAGTCTATGAAACTCTTGACAAGACAAAAATTGCTGACCAAGGCCATTTGTGTGCCCGCACATCTACTTTCTTGATGTTTGATATTTTTTTGTGTATTTGCAAATCCCTTGATACTTCAGGTGACCACATCTTAAATGACACCAAATGCTACAGAAGGTGATAACCATAAATAATAAATGTAAATCTAACTTACTATTGGCAGTAGGAGCATGCATAGTAGCTGATAAGATAGGTTGTCTGGCTTTATGGCTGGTACTAAACACAGAACTTGAACCTATTTGCAGTCCTTTCATATTTTCACTTAAACTAGAATCTATAACATCTTTCCCACGTTTGGATTTCTCTTTCTTTTTGTCAAATTTATTTTCGTTTTTGGAAACTTTTTTCGTTTTAGATTTCACAGCTGTAGCACTGTTCTTGGGAGTTCCTGTCTCTACTTCTGATACACTTTTGGATTTCTCAGGTGTTTTTGGCTTCAGCATGTCCAAGAATGACCGTCTTTTCTCCTTTTTATTTTGTGAGTCACTATCTGATCGGTCATCTGCTTTCCGTATTTTTGCTTTTGCGTCAGATTTTTGAGTTTTTCCAACTTTCGTTACATCAGTACTTTTGAGTTTCTTTTTAGTATATTTTCCAGTTTTAGAACTGACATTCACTTTTGCTGAAACATTTTTGTCATCACTGTCTGACACTATATCACTTGTACTTTGAGTATCATAAGAAGTACTACGTCTGTCACCATCCTCTGTAGAAGAATTTCGCAACACAACTTTAGGACTTTCAGCTCCAAATGTTTTATTGACAAAAGCCACCGCAGTAGGTGCCTTTTTGTTCAACTTTGGTTGATCACTATTCCCGTTCACTACATTATTAGTAGTTCTAGCACTGGGAGGAATGGGTAGGAGTCTCTTTCTAACCAGTTTCCCTGTATCCTCATCCCTTGGTTTAGGGGCAGGTTTTTGTTTCACAGATGTCATGGGTGTTGAAAACACATCACAGTTGTCACTTTCGTCATCAGCAAAAGGGATGTCATCATTATCCTCATCAATACTCTTACGATCATGCATTGGGCGCAGAAGTGTATCACCCTTAGTCAAACTACTATCCAAAGGAATCTTCTTACGACCTTTTTCGGCAGGGAAAGACTTTTCAGGACCTGTTGATTTCACTGAAGTTTTTGTCTGAGAAGACAGTCTATTTCTATCCAGAGCTACCTTTACTTTTGGTTTATCCTTGTCAACGTGAACTCCTTTTCTCCTACTCAGAGATCCTGACCGACTGCGATTTGAATCTGACATACTTGAGTTACTCGAGGTACGTTTGACTTTGGTATCAGCTTTGGATGGAACTGTGGATTTCTTTTCTGTAGTTAGCTTGCCAATTGGAGTAGCAAATGGAGTCGACCCAGAATTAGTTCTGGAGGCAGCTGGAGTATTTAAAACAGATGAGATTGGTTTAGTGACTGTTGTTTGCACTGGTTTGGTAGGAGACCTACCACCACCAGGTGTCCATCTTCTCACTGGAGGTAAATCTGGTAACTTTCTGTAAGACTTCTTTTCCACCTCTACTGGTCTTTCAGGTGATTTTGATGGAGTTGGTTTGATAGGCTCTCTCTTCATTGGAGTGGAGGAAACGTTTTGGTTTTCGTTTATATCTTTAGCAAAATCTGATTCAGAAATATCTTTGGTAGGAGATTTTGGTGAGGATATCACAAGATTTGGAACCTTTTTGATTTTTTCTTTGACCAACTCTTCCTTCTGTATCTCCTGCTTTGATATTTCATCATGCAGATTAAATATGGGAGCCTTTTTCTGATCCTCAGACTCTTCTAGAGGAGTTTTGAATCCTTCCTCCTTAACTTCGACTACACTAGCATCCGGTGTCATGTAGTAACTACTTTCATTGGATTTCAAAGTATCATCTGCATTTGCCTCCTCATCCTTTATTGTTCGATCTCCTTCTTTCAATTCCTTGGATTCATCCTCTGGCAAATCATCATCATCATCAGACTCATCATCAAGAGCCATGCTCATCGTGTTTGTATAATCCAGTAACATATCTTCATCAGGTTTCTCATCTTTACCATCATCAAGAAATTCTTTGTTGTATTCAACTACATCTGCTAAAGAACTTGTAGATGATTTGGGAGAACCTGATGGAGTGGATATGGTAAAACTTGAACCTGAGCTGGCTGATTCAGTTCTTTTGACATTTTTGCCCTTTCGACGTCTATCTGTTACAAACCGTTCATCCATTTTTTTAAGTGATTTGTCCATCAATTTACCCGCTTCTTCATCAGACGAAGTCTCCATTGCCTTCACACTATTAAGAACTTGCTGTAAAGTGTCTTCACTTGTCACTGTATCCAACTGTACATTGTCCAGAGCAGAATTAGGAACATTTTTGGAAGTATCTGAGCCTTCATTTTCAAACACTTCATCTTTCATTGCTGCATCCTTAACTAATTGTTTATGGAATTCAACATCTTCACATGGAGGTTCAGTCATAGAGTTTAGAGAAAGACGGTCATTTTCACTACTTGTATCCTTGTCATCAATTTCAGCAAGTAGGCGTTCCATTTCTTTACTTACAGCAGTCTTTCCTAAAAGATCATCCTCATTTTCTTCCTGTGAATCTTCAGCCAAAGAATCTTCTCCTCCTTCAGAGTCTTTTTCCAACTCACCATCAGTGTCTTCCATATCGTCAACAGACATGACAGTAATCTTAGACTTATCAGTACTGATGTCTTCTGATATGGATTCAGATGGCAGACACTTGCTGTCCTCTTCTTTATCAGATGCTGCATCTTCATCAAAAGCTTCTTTTACTTGCACCTCCTTAACTTCTGCAGCTTTTTGAGCTTCTTCTACTACTAAAGCTTGTGCATTTTCCTCCTCTTTCTTGGTTTCCTTGTTTTTAAACATACTGAAGGCATCAATTCGAACTACTTCAGGTGGAGCAGAGAAGAAACTTGCTCTGGCAGCTAAGACTGAAGGACTGATGGGTGATTTGACTGGGGAGGATGATATAGCTGGTTTATTAGTTATAACTTCTGATTCTTCATCTTCTCCTTCAGTTTCTGTTTCTTCTTCACTTTCGTACTCAGAATCTGAAACGAAAGAAATTTAAAGGTCGTCATGTTAGACATTTGAGGATGTGAGTGAGCTGAACGTCAAAACCTTGAGGACTGAAAGCGAAAGTCCTGAAATTTACAATGAATTACCCTTTGTTACCTATTCTGCCAGATCAACTTTTGGTCTGTGTTAAGTGGAAGCTATAGGATACTTATTAAAAATTCCCAAATGCTTGAGCAAACAACTATTAGTGTGGGGAAAATAAGTTCACTGGCTCATGGGAAAGATTACCAGACTGACTTGGTGGTCCCAAAAGGTTTAATGTGGCGAGACAAAGGATGTTTGACACATCTTTATCAAAGAAATGAAATTATTCACTTTGGACTCAAAATTTACCTTGTGAACACTGTTAAAATATTTCCTCATATGTAAAAATATAGAAAATTTAATTGAGATTACTCAGTGAGATTACCTTCAACTTCAGTTTCTTCATCATCACCATCTTCATCACTTTCATCATCCATATCATTATCTTCTTCTAACTTAGTATATGGTGTTTCTTCTACCACTACATCTTTAGAAGTAGTTTTCAGAAGATTTTCAGTTGAGTGTCTGGTTGACCATGTCTTAGCTAGTTGACACGCCTCCTCCCAAGTGATTGATTGATTACTCAAGCCTTCTGTAACATCCAATAATACATCTTCATCTTCTGCACCAGACCTAAAATGTTAATGTTAAATCTATAATTCATTTTGATCAAAGATTTGCTTTACAGATTGGATACGATATAATGAAGCTACTTTTTAGAAAGAAAATCCAATACATGGGGGCCTTAATCTCCAAAACTTGACAAAGACAAAATACAAATTTTAAGAAATACAGTAATCTATTGGATAATATAACAACAGATAAATTCAATTTTAATGATTGACCAATTAGATGACTGGAACACTAAAATGCTCTAAAGTTAACTTTTTGAGAATAAGGCTCCCATCTACTGTACCTGTAGAAGTAATACCATAATAACAATAATTTTTGAACATTAAATATATTTTTTTAAGCTGGATATCCGGGACTATTTTTCACTCTAACAATTTTTTTCTCAAATTGCAGACATTTGATTTTCATTCTCAAAAGTGACGGATAAGGCTGGAAAAACTATCTTATTCTTAAGACATCTGACTCATTGTTAATAATCATTTGACCATTCACATTTCTCAACATAGTTATTTTCTTTGGGCAAGGAAATTTGAAAAAACAATCCACCTCAAAGAAAAGTTAGTAAATATTTACAATACGCAATCCAATCAAGTATCATTAAGCACCATTAAAAGCAGAAGACAAATCCAAATAATCATTGTGTAAATAAACAGTGCTGAATCATAAACACTTATAATTTAAGTGCAGGTTAAACAGTGTTCTATGGGAAGATGTATATATCTTGTTTTTGCAGGTGCTGAATACATGCAAGCCAACGGTGATATGTAAATATGTTTTATGGTTTGGTAATTTTGGACTTGGTACGATTTGGCTCTTAGCCCCCTTTCATAACAAACGACACAGAATCCTTATGTGTACAAGAAAGTGTGTCATGTTTTCATTTTCCAAGTCTGATTTTCACATCAAAATTTGCAAAAATTTATTTCTGACTTTAAAAATTGAGATTTTTTTTAAAATTTCTTACTTCTAAAAGTTCTGAATAGTGACAAACTTATTAGTAATTTTATAAATTTCTTTTATTTTTTTCTCTTTCCTTATCTAATAAATAAATCGCGATAGTTATAAATCATATTGTTGGATGAGTATCGTATAGTATATCGAATCACAACTTCAAGAATCGTTGCAGTAATCAATGTGACACAGAACAGTGCTAGTTTCTATTTCACAAAATATCCATCTAATAAGGTTCTTATACAGGCCACATAAATTTCATATAAGCTTTCAATGATAAAAAAATAATGTAATTTAATTATCTCAGGAACAGTTGTGTCTCTCCCAAATCTACCAATATTTACAAATTTACAAAATCACCAATAAGAGAAAAATACTTAAAAGTTCAGATCTGATGAAATAAAAATTGGGTCCGTTAATAAAAATCTCGTCCAAAGTATGGCAAAATCAAGAGTATTACCACCCCAAAATAAATATAACGTAGCAAATCATAAACCAAAATGAAGCATGGAAAAAGGAATTTAGGAACATCTTTCAAATTTCAGGTTTAATTTTTACCTCTGGATGATTAGTGGCAAATGGCTAATGAATTGCAAAACAAAAAATATAAAATTAACATTCAAATGCTTTAACAATAAACACAAACACTAAACACAAATTCAATTCATGACTGCACAAACAATTGTAGAAATATCTTTGTATAAATTCCATCTTAATTGATCTTTTTTCATTAAGGCCATCAGAAGTTTCCACACCTTTGTAAAAGAACCAAAGACCTCACATAATAAGTGGCAATGGTGTAAATAGTAGCAATAAGTGCCCCCGATACACAAAAATAGGCCAAAAATTTCTTTCAATCAACTTTCTTAATTCATATTTTTTGTCCAAATAATCAATTTCTTTGACTATTAACTGTCTTTTAATCTTTTCAAAGCAGAATTCATACAAAGATATCTCAAATGAAATGACAATATCTATTATACCATTCATCAAGTATTCTAGCCATCTCTGTATCTGACAGAGACCCTCTGTAAGAAAAATAATCAGTTCATTTTAAAAACTGATTTTTTAGTAAAGGGTGAAGAAAAATTTTGGACTTTTATTAATCAAGGACAGGCCCATTTATATATTTATATCAATTAATTTCTGAAAAAAGGGACATTTTCAGGTTTTATCAAGATTTTCAACTTTAAAGTAACTCAGCTCTGCAAAGTCATAACCCTACACCTATATACAGAATTCTACACCTTCAGAATATGAATCTGAAGTCAGAAGAAATGAACCCAAAATTAACTGAGGTTATACTCAAATGCATCTTGTTTGCATCTAACCCACACAAAAAAGCCAGTAGTTTGGTCAAGAGTAAAATATAGCTAAATCATTTTTAAATGTAATTTTGTTTTAATGGATTGCAATAGTCTTTTTTAGATTCTTCAAAATAAATACTCACTCTGAGTCAGAGTTACTGCTGTCTTCATCTTCATCATCTAGTAAGGTATCAGATGATAGTGACGCACGAAGATTGTGTTCAAATTGTTCTTCTTCAGATTCTTCTTCTAAACCATCAAAAGTATTTTCAAACTCAGCACGCTCTGGTGTCTTACTAGCATTATCTAGTATATCTATATTATTTATTCTCAATGGAGTTAGTACAGTATCTATAACAGAGAACAGAAATGTTATTAAGTTTATGTTCTTGTTCCCGTTGATACTAAAATAAGTATACATGATGACATGATGACACAGTATATGCTACACTTTCACATGATAACAGCGATAAGAACCTGTGACCATCATTATTTTGATGGTCATTACTTTCTTGGGATAAGAACCTGTGACCATCATTATTTTGATGATCATTACTTTCTTGGGGTAAGAACCTGTGACCATCTTTATTTTGATGGTCATTACTTTCTTGGGATAAGAACCTGTGACCACCTTTATTTTGATGGTCATTACTTTCTTGGGATAAGAACCTGTGACCATCAATATTTTGATTATCATTACTTTCTTGGGGTAAGAACCTGTGACCATCTTTATTTTGATGGTCATTACTTTCTTGGGATAAGAACCTGTGACCATCAATATTTTGATGATCATTACTTTCTTGGGGTAAGAACCTGTGACCATCAATATTTTGATGATCATTACTTTCTTGGGGTAAGAACCTGTGACCATCTTTATTTTGATGGTCATTACTTTCTTGGGATAAGAACCTGTGACCATCAATATTTTGATGGTCATTACTTCTTGGGATAAGAACCTGTGACCATCATTATTTTGATGGTCATTACTTTCTTGGGATAAGAACCTGTGACCATCATTATTTTGATGGTCATTACTTGCTTGGTTATGTCAAAGTATGAGAGTCTGGTATCCTTGAATCAGTCATGTTGGCTCATTATTCCATTACCTGTAGATGCGTACAGACAATCTGTGAAAATCAGAACAAGAGGTTTGTCCAAGTATCAGCTCATAGACAAGATCCTTGAAAAATTCTATTTTTTCTTTTTCTTTCTAAGGTAGTTCTATTATAAGTTTGTAAGTAATGTATCAATTTGCGTCACATACCTGGTGTTTTGAGCAGAGATCTTGATCTGGAATCACCTGGTGTCTTGTCACCATGATTCTTGTTAACATCATGAGGAATATTTTCCTGTAATAGTAAATATCAATGCGGCGTAACAAAATGGCCGATTTTTAAATTGATTCAAAGACATTTTGGTTCTAAAGCTGTGGTTTTAATTACAAAACAAAAAGTCGAAAAACTAACCTTAATGTCATCTTCCATAAGCCTCTTTCTTTTAGCAGCTAATCTTTGTTCCCTTATAGCATGACGGAAACAGAAAAATTTCACTGAAAATTTGAAAAATAAATCATGTAGATTATGGCGAAATTATTCCCTACTTCCATGATGAAATCTTTGGTCTGAGCATCAAAACAGAGAGTTCAACATAGTTTTACTCATTCAAAATCTTAGGTAGCGCTTGATTGGTTAGTTCTGAACAGGTCATGTCTGTCTCAAACTAATATTTTTTTGGGTACACGCGGAATGCATTTTGAACTCTGTTCAATCTTATTTTATTGGTTGATTCAATGAATCACGAACGTACATAACTCATTAATCGAGCGCTACTTCGAATGTTAACAGCAATGTCTGAATCAAATCGCAACATTATAAAATAAACAATAAACACAATATATAATAAGTAGAAAACTTACCGTCTGGTTCTCTTTCTGCAGTATAATTATTTAATCGTAAAATAACACCACAGAAATCACATTTTAAACACCCACGATGAAAGAATACTCCTTCAGCACTCATTCTCTCCATAATATAAACACGTTTAGCACAGAATTTACAGAATTCGCTGTTTGGTTGAGCAGCAGCTAATGTTGGTGTTCCTTTCTGAAATGCCAAATAGATTGAAGTGAAGGTGCTATTCCCAATTTTGGAACTATGTATTTGTCTATGTGACTAGAAATATTTAAAAAGAATATGAAACATGTTTTAATATTTCTAACACTGAGAATATTTTTTCTATTTCTCTATATTTCACATGTTTATATTTTTCCTTGATTGTCCACAATATTCACCATGAAAATCATATAACAACAGTCACTGATTTTAGTTGAGTCAAAAACCAGAACTTTGATTGCAAATGATCATTCTATCGTAATAGGTGTTCATGAGATTTTATGCAAGGATATAAACTTCATATTGATCTTGTTTAAAGTGACAATTAACTTCATAAACCACTGATTTTCAATGAAATTAAAGTTCTGTTTTTACATTGCTCTGAGAGAATAAAAATATTTGGTAAACAGTTGAGTTATGGGAAACAAAATATAAGCATATTATACACAAACAACTCCTGGTATCCTTTCTGCCAGTAAGATCTTGGAAAAGGGATTCCAGCAAAAAAAATTTCAAGTTTACTGAAGGCTTACTTATTAACAACTGAGTGAACAAATGACTTGATAACAGTTCTATTTAAGAACTATTCTAAACTTACCAGTCTCTTGACAACAGGTTGAGCAGGTACATCACCACGAAATTTAGCTGCCAGTATTTCAGCCATAGCATTGACACTGACAGCCCCTTGAGCTTCTTCTTTTGATTTCTGTGAGAATGGTGTATAGGATGTGCTAGCTTTATTGGTCACTGTTAATTTATTAGCTATTTCATCCATGGGTAGTTTTTTATATTTAGTGAGTTCTATATGTTGATGTTCCTCTAACTTTTCTTCGTGAGTTATTTTATGAAACGTTTTATCCTCTTCTTCTTTTTTCTATAAAGAGATCGTAAAATAAAATTGATATAGCCAACATGTTGTTACTCAGCTGCTGGGTAAAACAGTCCAATATAGTCAATCTTCAAAGTTTAAAACTGTTTTGGAATTTAATATAAGCATACCAGACTCACTAAAACCATTCATCACTGTCTGCCACATTTTGCATTTCTTTCTGGAGATTTCAAGCGCGTTGATGATTAATTGGTATGTTCACAAATCGGTTGATAAATCTGCTGATGGACCACATTGTCCCAGAGATTTTTCTTCAACTTAATTCAAAAATCCACAATCATAATAACTGTGACCAGTGACATTTATTGGACAAGGCATTTCGAAACACTACATGGCACTTAAAAGTCAGGGTTTATCTATTCTGCAGAAGTAAGTGTCATATGATATTAGCTCCAAATATCAGACATTGATTGGTGCTGTCCTAAGACATGGTAAATCGAATATTGCAAATACAATTTCTGACCTTTTCTAGCCAATTAAGAATTCAAATGACACAACTGATCACATAGCAATACTAACCCGTTTTGATTTATTAATCTTTGAACTGAGTTTTTGTAGGAATGATGTACGATGTTTAGGTGAGCGAGTATTTTTATCATCTTTTGAAAGACTTCGGGTTTGTACAATTGGCGCTGAAATACACAAACCATAAAATTCATTTTATGTCATAAATTCTACTTGATTTGACTGGGATTTTTTTTAGATTCGGCAAAAGTTTCTTAATCTTACACATAAAACATAAAGAAATTATTTGACAAAGAGCATGTGATATAACTCTTTATCATATAAACTATATTTGCATAATAGACAAAAATTATTACAATTGTAGATATGCATTAAAGCTTTTTATGAAGTGTAATGACTTTTTCCACTTTTGTGTGGAAATAATTACGGAAAAAAGTGGGTTTTTTTTATATGGTTTCCATCACAAAGATTATGAAAAAACTCACCTAAAGGAACTGGTTCAGTTCTAAAAACTCTGTAATATTGTGATAAATAAGCCATCATATTTAATCTATCTGGTATATCACTACTAGCTATATCATCTGCTGACATAACAGGATTTATACCTAATTCTTTCTCAGCTATAGTTAATGCCTGAAACAATTAAATATCTAAACTTAATCATCAGTTATAACAAAATACAACAGGATTGTAAAGAGGTTTTCTAAATTTGTTCATGTGTATCAGTGACATTGATAGTATCAATTTGCACCATTCCAATTTTCAATCAGATGTCTGTGATTCCTGCAATTTCATCAAAAACTTATTTTACATGGAATTGCATGAACCACAGACGTCTGATTGAAAATTTGAATGGTGCAAATTGACAGTATTGATGTCCCAAATACATCCATGAAGAGCTCTTATTTAATCATCAGAGATCAAAAATTGTCTAATCCTTTGCCTCAACATCAGGTTTATGATTTGAGTATGTTTATGTAAGTAATGCTTCAAAAACTGACATGGCTACAGCAGAATTTCCAATGATTCCTGCTGTGAAAACTAAATCAACAATATCAAAGGGATTTTTAAGTTCTACTATTTGGCACTTCAATCACAATACATTAAAACTTACCAACTGATTATTATGCAATGGATTGGATTCTAATAACTGGTTAAAATTTCTATAAAGAAAGAAAGAAATCAGTCAAAAGATATTTCAGAATGAGAAAAAAATACCTACTCTCATTCTGCTTTTTTTTAACATTTATATTTGATATAGCCACTTAAGTTGGGGTCTCACAACAGCCCTCTTGAACCTTTTGACCTAACTTGATAAACACTGCCTCACAAAATGGCAGAGGGTAGAAATTTGATTGGTTTAAACAGACCTCATCTGGTAAGGTCAAAAAGGTTAATTTGATGAAAGTTTAAGAGGGCTGTCATTTGACCTTAACTGAAGTAGCTATATTCCAAATAAAAACAAAAAACGGAGCAAAAGTTTGGTCTAATTTTCATTAGACTGGTATACTTTTTTAAGGCTAGTCTTCATGTCTTATACAAACAGTCTGTCGCATAAAGTGAAAATAAAGATGGTGCAACTAAAATGATTCCAATTCATTTGGTTAGCAGTTTCCAAAAATATAATGTTTCTATTTCAGATAAGAATGGACACAGACACTCGTAGTCATAACATGTGCCACAAATTTCCACAAACTATGACAGAACCAAATTGTGGTCTGATTATATGCTTAATCCCAGAGAGAGCTACAAACAATAGGCAATCATTCAATTGAAAGATACTTACATAAGGTCTGGTTTGAAGGCATGTATAAGGGCACAAAGAGCTAGACCACTCTTCCAGGATGTAGTAAAGTCTATGATATGAACATGACGATATATATTGTTGTTTAATATCTTCTGACACCATCGTAATAAACTATATGGATCAACCAAACCATCTGAAAAATAGCCAGTGGTAAAGTAAGTCAAATAATAAAAGTTTGGAACAGCACATTATACAGTTGTACCACAGGCAGTTAACAAAATAAGAACTTAGACTTCTCATGGGGCCATACAAAATAAATAGTCGGTTTTACAGGCCCAAAAATACCTGATTGTTGCCTTAATAATAAAAAGTCAGTAAATTTGTGGTAATATTTATATTAGAAATGAAAATCTAAAAAAGCGCTTATAAATAACAAATAATAAATTTGTCCTCTCGCCCCGATTTTTGTAAAAAAAGGCCTGTAAAACAGACTATTTATTTTGTGTGGCCTGACTATTATTACGTTTTTTCTAAAAAAAAAATAGACTTGGATATAGTCCCTGACTTAAGTCATGGTGCTTGCACATAGATATACAAACTTTGTCAGTCCTTGTTTAAAGTACAAGCTCTTCAAAACTATTCTAAGATCAAGATTTACAGAAATAATCATGCTATGCATCTTATTGGTTAACATTTCCATTTTTAGGTTGGGTTTGACCAGGCAGATGATGAAAATTGTGCAATGCATACAGCATGAAGAATTGCATGGTATATACATGTATATGGTATATGTAATTAAGCAATATATTAGATCCTTGGGAATTACTGTGATATATGCATATATTGAGCTAGGTGCCATATTGAATCAATACCAGTCAAGATTAATTTGGCACCAGAACAAAGTATCTAGTAGTAATTTAACAAAATTTCTACTGGAGCTATGGATGTGCATTTCAGTTTTAAAAGACACCATACCTTGCTTTCTCCTCTTGGAAGGAATTTCTTCATCTAATAACTTAGCATCTCCACCGTCATACAGATGTCTAACTTGACTAGGTTTTAATATACGTATTGTATTTAAGTTAGGATACCTATAATAAAAGAATTTCACAATTTGACTGCTCAAAATATGTTTCTTGATCACAATAACTCAGCTATACATGCAAACTGAGCATCACTGTATACCTTACATAGACAACTGCCATAGTGTGTTCAATTTAATCATCTTCACTCATAATTCCAGTCAACCCAGCTGTAAATGGGTAGGGATAATCCAGGAAAGATCATCACTGTATACCATACAAAGATCAATGCCAAGGACCAACTGGTAGAAGGGATCCTTAACTGTGAACCTTAGTTGTTATCCTTGTAAAATATAGTTGTTTCTTTTCTTAAAGTGTGGGCACACGAAGTGGTCTTGGTCGGAGACTTTTGTCGCCGATTAAGAGTCTTGTCTTGAGTTTCAACGACTGGCACAGGCACAAAAGAAGACAAAAATCTCCAGTGGTTTTTCCACCATGTTGATAATCAGGTGCAGAGCATGCAATTGAAAGGAAAATGAATCTGATTGTATGATGATGGTTTTGCAGAAGATAAAACTATCAGAGACAATTATCAAACCAAGACTACTCGTGTGCCTGCACCTTTAGAATGTACACAGCTAGTAGCATACATGAACACAGTTCATTGTCTTGTCTAAACATACAGATCTCAACCTTTCTGACCTTCATCACTAACAGGATGCTTCTAGCTTACAGACCTCCTGGTAAACAAGGACCATGGAGCCAATCCCTTACAATACGTACCTGGTATTAGGGTCAATACTATAATGACTGTGGAGTTTATGAAGACTTTCTGGTGTAGTTTGTGATAATAATTGGAAGATACTCTCTCTTTCTGCTAATATTTCTAGTGGTCTCATCTTGCCTGCTGCCCAGTTCTTAATCATCCAAGCTGTATCAAATGCACCGAGAAATCCTCTAGCACAACCTGATCCAGTTGGCCAAAAAGGCTGAAATATACAAAAGATAACATTGATTGAAGCATTTTGTTTTCACATGGGACCTTTGGATCTGATCTCCTAAGTTTATATAATAGAAATGGAAACTTCCATCGGCACAAACATGTGTAAACAGCTGACTATGAGGTCCTGTCAATTTGATTGGAGAAATTTGTTAAACTGTTTTATTTTTGGACCTCATGCTCGTGTTCCAAAAAGTCCTTACTTGTCTCTTATATCTAAATAAAGAAGGCAAATGTGACTGTCTGGTATCACAGTTTCAGGAACTCTCTTTGGATATGTTTTCAAAAGCCAACATAAATTCCACCTCTTTAAGAACACTTTCCAACTCAAATCCAACCTCATATTTAGAAATAATTATTTTAGTCAAATGTTTATTCTGCATTTCAATCAGAAAGCAGGTCTTTTGACCCCAAACTTACCTCCAAAAGACTGTCACCAACTATTCCCATCAACAACTTGTGACCATTCTTTTCAACAACTCTGGAGGAATTCTCAGCAGCAAACATTGATGTAAAATCAAACATAGCCAAGTCAGCTTGACCATAATGATTGACAGCAAACTCCAAGTTTGGTAATTGATAATTAGTTGACACATTAGCAGCTTCTTTAGCATACGCCATCAAGGCATCTTGGTTGACATTTTCTCTTGACAGTAATTGAATTGTGTCTGCATAGTCCTGAAAAAAAACCCAATTTATTTAAAATGCCTTAATCAAAGATCCTTGTTATTCAAAATGCAAGATAATATGAATAAAGGACTCATAATTCTATGCACCATCTTTATTCAGCAGGCTATCTTAACAGCTCTCCCAAGGGAAGCAACTCTTAATCTATAGGGGATATTTCAAGACCACAATATTACAGCATTCACTGGCAAGACTTACCTCCTTTAAAACCCCTTTTGCAAACAAACTCTGTTTTTTAGCTGTCATAACAAAGTAATGTGTTTCATCTTTATAATAGACAATATTTTCTAAGTCTATACCAGTTTTATCCTTTAAATCAGTGAAGAATTTTTGATTGAATATAAAGGCAACACCACTGATCTCTTCAACACTAGCTTCAGCTGTAGTATTCTTGTTAATGAAATTAGCTGTTATAGCAATGGCTAGTTTACCCCTGAATTCCTTACGAGTAAAACCTGCAAATAAAAATAGAACAGCTCAGGCCCTAGTCGTTTACAAACAATCTGAAACTGGATTCCGAATCCATGTCATTCGTTTTACAACGGTTTGGCCTGAATCTGAAAGCGGATTTCGAATCCATGGGATTCAAGATGGCGTCATTTATAGTTTTAAATTAGTCTTGCTTTTCGAATCTGTTTCACTCGTTTACAACATGAATCTGATGTACCAAACCCATTTCGAATTTTTTGTAGGGCCTTAGTATTCAAAATCTTTAGCCAGAATGAAATGAATCCTTTCAAAATTGGAATTGTGTTGCCTTGACAGTAGTGCTCAAGGAATGAGTCAGGATTTTTGGAAAAATTCACCAAATGAGCTTTGAGTTGGAATATTTGTTGTGAACCAACTGCTATGTACTATATTTTTTCATGTTTATGGTAGTTAATATTTCTAGGATACTTACCAGAAAGAGTATTACGTTTACCATCAGCACCAACTAAAACATCGAATTGATATTCTGATACTGGATGATTCTCAGGATCTATTTTACATCTCCATCCTATATCTATAATATATATCATAATTGTCATCAGCATCTCCAATTAACTAGGGGATCTGCAGTGGTTATAGACGTTAGCTCGCTAACCTGAAGGTTCAGGCATAGGTCGAGGTGATACCTGATTTTTCAACTTGATGCAGGTAAGAGAGGCTGACATGGAAATACGTCTAATCGTTAGGATAGGATAGGCCCTGTGTGCTACAGACTGTGCAGGTTAAAATATCCCTCAACAGTTAGAAATCGAAAAAGAGCAGGCTAATGCTGCTGTCCTGGAAAAATTTCTGTCTTCCTTAACACACATGGTGCAAAAAAGTGTAGGATGTAAAACTCCATTCATTTCATTTCAAATTAACTTGGCTACTCAATACTTGCCCATTTGAAATATGAATTTGTGTGCTATAAAAAGTCCTCCTAGTTGCAGAATAGCATGATGTGCTTCTACCTACGAGCAAGCAGAACTTGAATAAACTTCGAAAGAAAAGCTCAAAAGAATGACCTCAGAGATGGTCTTGTCCAGCAACAACCTCAATGATGAGGTTTAAATACAAATGCCTATATTCTTTGCTATCTGTCAATGCATGCTTTGGATATTTAATACATCATCAGATCAGCTGATTTGAAAAAAAGTGACTAAATGTCTCAGAAGTATGTCTCAGGGAAACTCTAGTCCACTAGTAGCAGAGGTATCAGCCTAGATGCATGATAAAAATACTAAACAAATATTCTTATCTATCTATCATGACATGTTTTGGAAATATAATCCATATCAGGACAGCTGGATTGTTAACTATGAATAAATTTGCAACATGAGGAAGTATTATTTCTACTAATCATCTGTTCATTAAAGGGACAGCTGCACCATTTTTTTTCTTGACCAATGAAACAAGAATATTTTTTAGCTAAGCCAATCAGTAATAGTGTTCACAGCTTGTCTTTGAAATTTGAGCGTTCAAATGTGTGTCCAGAATTATCAGCGTTTGAAAGTTAAAATGACACTGCTGTATATATAGAAAAGATATTATAGAAATAGTAAAATTCCTAGTTCGAAGTATTTTTTAAAGGAATTATGAGATTTTGGTACATTTCTAGTACTTCTGAAGACTATTTACATATATTCAAGACTCAACTCAACTCCTCTAATATGGCCCATTAACATAATCAATATATCATATCCCTTTTCATAAAGTTTCATAAAAGACATTGTGTACCAAAGTGTATTTTGATAAATTCATGACCAAAAGAAGGACATACAGTAAGGATCACCTCCTCAGTAGCTCGACTGATAAATATGAGGACAAAATGAGTAAACACTTTTTAGAAAAATCATGTAATGTTGAACATTTTGACATAGTAATTTTTGAAATGAATGGAGTTTTACATCTTACTCTTCTGCATAAGATAATATTTGAAGCTGGCTCACATTCTTTTTTTTATTAAGATTGAAATAGTTATAAATTACTAACTTCAGTAAGGACGTAGGATGAAATAAGGTTAGTTGTCTGAAGATTGCATAGAGTAAAACTCTGAGTAACAACATGTTGTTTTAGGTTCTGTTTTAAACTTGTAAGTTATAAATTATATTGTTTTGCACTATTCCAGGCTATTAGAATCTAATTGGACAGTGAAGTCAGTACTTACGATCTGTTTGGTCTTCAGGAGGTTCAATTAAACAAGAAAAACCAACATTAACATGTACTTCTACCCCTAATAGTAGAGCTACTTTTAATAAGATACATTGTAACTGACGTATACCTGTAAAATAAAAACCAATGATATAAATTTTACCTTCATTGATTAACAACCCAATGTTAAATTTTCGTGCTAAAAAGTGCAGTAAGAACAACTCAAATTAGGCTTCAAGGACGAGTGTAGTGTTTTGTGGCTTAAAGTTATTTTTATGTGACCATGTTGATTTTCTCCTTATTGAGCATCTGTTTATTCAGATGGTACAATAAACCGAGGTCCCATGTACTACAGGCTGTGTTCGTTAAAACCCCTGGACAGTTGAAAATCAAAAAGAGTAGGCTAATGCCACAGTCCTGGCAAAATTTCCCTCATTGCACACTGCATGGTGTTGCCCGTCTCCATTTACGTAAAACTCCACTGATTTAATTTCATTTTCCAAATGCAGCTCATAATGATGGACAAAGCTTTGCAGTATTCAATGAGGTAATTTTTTCCAGGAAAGCAGCATTGGCCTAACTCAAAGCGCTTCATTGCTTTACTTACTTATATGATCTATGGCCCCAGCAGCAAACTTTCCAAAGAATTTCTTGGCCCCTAAATTCTTGAGATCGGTGATAAGAAATGGCCATAGATGTAGAACATTATTCCTAGAGAAACGGTCTCTCTTTTCTACCACCACAGTCTTTGCACCTAAAAAGGCAGCTTCTATGGCCATTCTTAAACCACATGGTCCAGCACCTATAATCAGCACCTGAAATGAGATACAGAAATATATTTCAATTGTAACAATGATCATTTGAGGCAATGAAGATTTAACCACTACAGTTTAGAGCTGTGTATCATCAATCATGCTATGATACGATACAGGGGTCACAATATGATACATATCGCGATATATGGTAATGGGATGAAAATTAATATTTTATCTTCAAAGTTTCTATATATATTAATTTATAACTTTATAACTATGATATTTGGTAATATAGTTGATAGAAGTGGTTAGTGTCCACTGTCTTATTAAAAGTTTCTATATATATTAATTTATAACTTTATAACTATGATATTTGGTAATATAGTTGATAGAAGTGGTTAGTGTCCACTGTCTTATTAAAAGTTTCTATATATATTAATTTATAACTATATAACTGTGATATTTGGTATTATAGTTGATAGAAGTGGTTAGTGTCCACTGTCTTATTAAAAGTTTCTATATATATTAATTTATAACTTTATAACTGTGATATTTGGTAATATAGTTGATAGAAGTGGTTAGTGTCCACTGTCTTATTAAAAGTTTCTATATATATTAATTCATAACTTTATAACTGTGATATTTGGTAATATAGTTGATAGAAGTGGTTAGTGTCCACTGTCTTATTAAAAGTTTCTATATATATTAATTTATAACTTTATAACTATATTTGGTAATATAGTTGATAGAAGTGGTTAGTGTCCACTGTCTTCAAAGTTTCTATATATATTAATTTATAACTTTATAACTATGATATTTGATAATATAGTTGATAGAAGTGGTTAGTGTCCACTGTCTTATTAAAAGTTTCTATATATATTAATTTATAACTTTATAACTATGATATTTGATAATATAGTTGATAGAAGTGGTTAGTGTCCACTGTCTTATTAAAAGTTTCTATATATATTGATTTATAACTTTATAACTATGATATTTGGTAATATAGTTGATAGAAGTGGTTAGTGTCCACTGTCTTATTAAAAGTTTCTATATATATTAATTTATAACTTTATAACTGTGATATTTGGTAATATAGTTGATAGAAGTGGTTAACGTCCACTGTCTTATTAAAAGTTTCTATATATATTAATTTATAACTTTATTACTATGATATTTGGTAATATAGTTGATAGAAGTGGTTAGTGTTCACTGTCTTATTAAAAGTTTCTATATATATTAATTTATAACTTTATAACTATGATATTTGATAATATAGTTGATAGAAGTGGTTACGTTCACTGTCTTATAAAAAGTTTCTATATATATATTAATTTATAACTTTATAACTATGATATTTGATAATATAGTTGATAGAAGTGATTACGTTCACTGTCTTATAAAAAGTTTCTATATATATATTAATTTATAACTTTATAACTATGATATTTGATAATATAGTTGATAGAAGTGGTTACGTTCACTGTCTTATAAAAAGTTTCTATATATATATTAATTTATAACTTTATAACTATGATATTTGATAATATAGTTGATAGAAGTGGTTACGTCCACTGTCTTATAAAAAGTTTCTATATATATTAATTTATAACTTTATAACTATGATATTTGGTAATATAGTTGATAGAAGTGGTTAACGTCCACTGTCTTATTAAATGATTCTATATATATTAATTTATAACTTTATGACTGTGATATTTGGTAATATAGTTGATAGAAGTGGTTAGTGTCCACTGTCTTATTAAATGTTTCTATATATATTAATTTATAACTTTATAACTGTGATATTTGATAATATAGTTGATAGAAGTGGTTAGTGTCCACTGTCTTATTAAATGTTTCTATATATATTAATTTATAACTTTATAACTGTGATATTTGGTAATATAGTTGATAGAAGTGGTTAGTGTCCACTGTCTTATTAAATGTTTCTATATATATTAATTTATAACTTTATAACTATGATATTTGATAATATAGTTGATAGAAGTGGTTAGTGTCCACTGTCTTATTAAATGTTTCTATATATATTAATTTATAACTTTATAACTGTGATATTTGGTAATATAGTTGATAGAAGTGGTTAGTGTCCACTGTCTTATTAAAAGTTTCTATATATATTAATTTATAACTTTATAACTGTGATATTTGGTAATATAGTTGATAGAAGTGGTTAGTGTCCACTGTCTTATTAAATGTTTCTATATATATTAATTTATAACTTTATAACTATGATATTAGGTAATATAGTTGATAGAAGTGGTTAGTGTCCACTGTCTTATTAAAAGTTTCTATATATATTAATTTATAACTCTATAACTGTGATATTTGGTAATATAGTTGATAGAAGTGGTTAGTGTCCACTGTCTTATTAAATGTTTCTATATATATTAATTTATAACTTTATAACTATGATATTTGATAATATAGTTGATAGAAGTGGTTAGTGTCCACTGTCTTATTAAATGTTTCTATATATATTAATTTATAACTTTATGACTGTGATATTTGGTATTGTAGTTGATAGAAATGGTTAACGTCCACTGTCTTATAAAAAGTTTCTAAAAATTTCAGTGAAAAAAATTATCATATCATAAACAACATATAAAAATCTCCATTTTTTTATGGAATGAAAGGTATTGTCAAGTATCAATACACGACATTGCGATATGATACACGTATCGTAGCATGTTGTATCATGATTTATACACTGCCTGCACTACTACAGTGACAGTCATATCAATACATAATCGAAGAAAATGCACCTGGACCAACGTATTTATGTCACAAAATTGCAGTCAATTCACCTTCAATTTGCCAACCAAAAGTGAAATTTTGATCAATAAAACCAACATGAATCATTGTCTTAATTTACCAACACCATTGATGGCCATTTAAATATATAAACTTGAATTTTATGTGGGTTTGGTGATGACACAATCACAAATTGCAAATATCATTACTGCTATAGTACATCATACTGACTAGTGCTAGGTAATGGGTACTGGTATTGCCAGATATGTCACGCTATGATATATGATGCATATCACAATGTTGGCTAATAGAGCAAATATGTGACTATGTATCCATTCTTGAAACGATCTATCTTGCTAGCTCTAATACTGTCCCCTTCCTTGTATCTTTATGTGACATAGAGTTGAATTCATTGAAAACATTGAAATATCTCTTGTTGACATGTGAATTGATTCAGAATTAAAAAAATTTCAGATCTGATTTTTAACATTTTTTCTATCCAGGATGAGCCCTTTAAATGATACTGTTGACCAAAGGCTATTAAATTGTCATAGAACATGTCCTAGTAAACATAGAGTATAACAATCCATATTTATCAGATTATCCTTTAATCCTATAATCTCTTGTGTCAATAAATAATAGTAAGTTGTAAACACTGATATTAATAATAGACACTAACAAATAGCCTAATAATAACACCTGTATATCAACAAAAAAGATACTACTGACTGAAGTGAATATAACAAATGAGAAATTTTTGTGCACATCTAGAATAAAAATTGGTGAAATAAGTTTATAAAAAAGCTAACAAGCAGTCTACTTTAGTATCAGGGAATTGTAAGGACATTTTCTAAATCTTTTTATCAATTCAACATTTTAATTTTCAATCAGACGTCTGTGTTTGTTGTAATATCACTAAATCTAAGCACTTTGTTATTATCACTGTTTTTCTTAAAGGGGCAGATGGGCCATTTTGCGGGTTGATTTGAGTCTTGAAAATTTTTGAATAGTTTTCAGAAGTACTAGAAATGTACGAAAATTTCCTTTAACTAGGATTTTTACTCTCTATTTCTATGTTTGTCTTTTCTATATATCACAGAGTATCTTAAAGTGACGAGTCCTCATTTTAACTTTCAAGACGGTTAATTCTGGACATACATTTATCTGGAAGCTCAAATTTTGATGGTGAGCTGTGAACACTAGTATTGATTGGCTTAGCTAAAAATGTACCGTTTCCGAGACTTAGTATATTTGGACAAAAAAAATGGCGCGCCTGTTCAATTAAAACTGATTAGACTAAATAGATTGTTAAATTATTGAAGGGGTAGAAATTAGACATTTCATAACCAAAATACAATCTTTTTCCGTTCAAACTACGACACATGACAAATTTTGAGTCAGACATCTTATTTGTCATTACATTTTTTACTCTATTTTTTTTCTGTGGCATATGTTAAACATGTGACTGCCCATTCTTACTTTTTCCTCTCAGTTATACAAATTAACAAACAAACCAAGTGTATAGCTAGCTGCCTGCCTTGCAGTTCACTGTTTGAACTGATTTGACTTAAGCTAATAATAGAAAGCAAAACTCAAGGTAAACAGAAAATCACCACAAAACTGGTTATTATGATTAGAGGTTTCAATTTTACTATTATGATCTAACAGAAACAGGAAAATACTTCTTATTTTAATAATATAACATTGCAAATAATGATTCCCATGAACACATTTAAAGGAAGTGACTTCACATGAATAATAATAAGAATTATAATCTCTCCTTTACACATTTTCCTTAATAAACCTCTAAAAGGAACCATTTGTATGGTTTATCGTTTTTAAAGGAGCACATTCACTATCTGTTTGACCAATCATACAGGAAAATACACTTTGGTGCACAATGTCTTTTATGAAACTTTTAGAAACAGGAATTTTTTTAGCTTACATAATCAGTAATAGTGTTCACAGCTCATCGTCAAAATTTGAGCCTTCAAATCCATGTGTATCTATAATTATTCACATTGGAAAGTAAGGCCTTATGTGATTAGAGCTGCTTTTGCGATAGCGCGTCATCAATCGATTAGTTTAAGGATTTTCAAGAATCACAGATGTCTGACTGAAAATTTGAATGGTGCAAATTGATTGGCAGTTTGGCATCACATTGAGCATTTTAAAACATAATCTGTCCTTAAAAAATAAAAAATAAAAAATACTCACTCTTGTATCTGCACATGCTGCTCCACCTCTGTAATCTCTGTGAGCAGCACGTTTATCAAACTTATCCCAGATTGACTTGGCTCTCCATGATGTTAGTCGAGATTTTAGACACTTGTAGAAGTTATGATGATCTACATGTTGTAATCCCAGGACGGTACATAGTTCGTGGAAGGTATTAAACACAGATTTACATGTAACAGCATTGACAAACTGATCAAATAATCTGGAGGCAAATTCCTCTGTACCCACACCATTCATCCTGCTGCTATCCACAATTCAACATACATTCTCTGAAATAATAACATAGAATCAGGTAAAGATAGCTTGCTTGGTACGGAAGCAGGCAGAAGATATACTTAATAGTTTATGTCTTCAAAAGTTAAAGACAGATTCGCTTTCAAAGTTTCATCAAAATTGAAATAAAACTGTATTCTCTATCATGTCCAGGAGTCTATCTTGAAGATAACTATACAAATATGAAATGAAATGAATGGAGTTTAACGTCCTACTTTTCTGCACCATGTGGGCTAATGAAATGAAATTTTACCAGTAAAGCAGCATAAGCCTACTCTTTTTCGATTTCCAACTGTTGAGTGATCTTTAACATGCACAGTCTGTAGCACACAGGGCCTCGGTTTATTGTCCTATCCGAACAAATTTTCAGTCCATTCAAATTACTTGACAAAGATGTCCACAAAAGTATTCAAAACCTACACATAAGGTACTCTAGCTTCATAAAAATAGTATTATACATTCATGTTATAAAAGTATAAACTAAAGTAAGTTTATGATATGGTACTTGATTGTGAACAATGCCAGGGTCAAATAGTGAGCTGTGAGATATTTCAATCCCAAGTGGTCACTTATCTGTCTCATTTAATGTTAAATACCCTAAGCAGATACAGTTACAAATGTCTTCTAATTCACAGAAACCACAAAGCACTACCAAATAATATTAAATAGGTGTTTTTTGAAATAAAAGCTATATAAGCCTACTCTATTTCAATTTCCAACTCGTAAAGGTGAAAAGAAGAACTACCAGTACACAAAATTTTCACAAAAGATTTTCAAAGAAAAAGGTGTTCTGAAATATTGAGAATGGTTTTCATATACACAACTTGAAAAGAGCAGTACTAAAGACTTGATTTTAGTGTAATATTGATATATGTTAAATACACACATTTTATTGTTGCCTGGTTGGCCTGGAAACAGAATGCTTTATTGCCACTAGGTGGAAAAGGTGCTTTGACAAACAGTATTCTGTTTCTTTATCATTCAGATATTAAACTCTTGAAAGCTATAAAATCAGTTGGAAGAACAGGAGTTCATCCAAAAGACCAGAATATCTGGTATTGCCATTCAATCAGTCAAGATATGTATATGCTATACACTAGACATCTGCCAGAAGTATTTTGCATGTTTTTTAATGCACAAGTTCTTGCAAAGGGTTACCAAATAAATATCTTTAAGTGACAAGTGTGCCATTATGACTTTAAAAATACTTCAAACTAGGAATTTTACACACTTTTTCTATATATCACAGAATATCTTAAATTGACTAGTCGTCTTTTTAACATTCAAACACAGATAATTCAAGACACACATCCATTTGAAGACTTAAATTTCGACGGTGAGCTATACTGATTAGCTCAGCTAAAAAATTCAAAATTCTGAGACTAAAGTATGATTAGTCTACCTGTCCCTTTAATACAGGCCCTTTCCCATACCAAAACCATTTTTCCTCATTTGCCACCCGTCTTTATCATTAGCTTATTTCTTATATAAACAGTTTATACTATAGGTGACTAACATGGTGCCACTGGCAATATCACTTTATATAAATTTATAATTTTTAGGAAGTGGGTCAGTCATGTCTAATTCAGTTTTATTATGAAAATTCAATCAATGTATGTTATAGCTTCTATTAAAGCTACACCATTTTTGAAATTCTTGGAAAACAACCAAACTTTCAGACCCATCCAAATTGAATTCTGGAAATTCCACATTAACTGAGTCACTTTCAACAAAAATGAAAAATTAACTTTATATACTATTATTTACTACATGTTTTTCTATCTAATATTCTTGATATATTCTAACTGTATTTTTGGTCTTAAGATTTTAAATTTCTGATCAGTTATTTTCAAAATCATAATTTTCAGGAAATGGATATTACTGAAATCATGGAAATATCAGAAATATGTCATAAGCAATATTTACTATTACATTCTAAAACTCTTTTTCAAGAACAAGGACAATAACTCATACTAAATATTTTTCAATTCTTCTGATTTTCGATAGGCTTCTTTCTTGGGTCATTACAAACAATCATGCCTTCTAGAGTGCTGAAGCGCTAAAATTTGAATTCATTTTCAAGAACAAGAGCAATAACTCATACTAAATATTTTTCGATTTTTCTGATTTTCAATAGGGTTAATCCTTATGTGATTACAAACAACCTGTGCCTTGTAGAGTGTTTACGAGCAATTGTGGACGGACCAACAGACGGACATGTAGGCATAAAAAAATGAAATGAAATGAGTTTTACAAATCCCTCTTGTATTGCCCTGGAGAAGCTCAAGTTATCTTAATGCTCTAACAAATGACAAAGCCTAATATCAGCTGTCACCATCCTTCGGAAAACTTGGACTACCATGTCATCTGTTTTTCTTTGTATTTCTTGTAGACAAATAAGACATTCTTTTTTTATTTTGAGAAGTGATGTGGATAGCTTAAATTTATGCAATATTGATATATCAAGCAAATATTAGTCTATTTAGGTTCAGATCAATAGGTTCAGATCAAGTTCAGATCAATAAATATGTGTATATAAAAATACATATAGGTCAAAAGTATTGATGAGTACCAGGCTAGACAGGTATTGATCTGGCACAATAGCATGATTATAATTCATTTGGATATTTTAATTATCTTTACAATTTGGTATTTACTATTTATCCATATAACCTATTATTTATAAAAATTTGTTTACTACTGATTAATATATGATCCAATCATATCTAAGGCGTCCATTCTCGCTAAGCCTGACAATAACCTCCTATGCAGCTGGCCGATAAATTGGACTACTTTCAAATATCAGGTCATGTGACAATAATATTATGTCATATAACTAACATCTGAAGAAATATATTTTGTTAGGCGGATGTAACTTCCACCTTACAATTAAAGAAGATTTTTTTTTTATCTGCATACAATTTATTGTCAGGCATAGTGAGAATGGCTGCCGTAGATACGCTTATATATGATCATCTTTAAATACTATTTTCTAGTGATTTGTTTATTAATTTTTTGTTTACTATTTTGATACATTGCTGTTTGATTACTATTCTATATGATTCGAAATTGATTAATTAAAGATGGGTTCCCTTATTTTCATTGATGAAAATGAAAATGCTTATACTTATATGAATAGAAAGTTGAGGTGTTCTAATGACTTGGAAAAATACCAGATTGTCTCACAAGTCCATAATTAATTCATAATTAGCTAAATTAGAAGAGATTTACCAGCAGATCTTCAATTAGTGACCGATCAAGAAATTTCAAAAAGTCCTTTTTTGTTTATCCAGACTGTACATACATGGACCTTTATGGTTGGTTAAAACTCTTAATTATATGCAATAAGAACATATAATAAAATGATTAAGAATACATGATAATTCATTAGAAACACCAATTTATCAAATAGTTTGCTTAATTTGACACTAAAAATAAGGAAACCCATCTTTAACATTATCTACAGAATAAGCCTACTTTGATTACCGAACATTTATCAATTCATTGACCTATGATGTAAATAAATAAAAACTTTCAGGATATTTTATAGAAATATATTAAAGGTCAAATTTTGTCAGCTCAAGATCATTCAGTATTTAAACTAAAATGATGTATCACTCATATTAAACATGCCAACATATATAAGAGTATTTCATTTTGCCTTCAGAAATATTTTTGTTCTCAGCACCTGTATATTCAAAGCAGACAACAAAAAAGGCTGCCCCGCCTTAAGAATTACATGTAATAGACCTACATACACATTTACTTTCCTTCTACTTGAACTAGTAGATCAAGTTTTTGGCACAATTACAGCTATAATTGTATGTGAGGTGAAAAAATCAGACTGTCACAGTTTACAATAATCATTTTATCTTGCTAATGCATTTCAACATGATTTACAATTAATTACTGTCTGACCACACCAGCACACTTAAATAAGATAATGAAAACAGGAACATAAATTCATCTTTAAACAGGCGAGCTTCTCCTCTTTTTTTTTGGCATCTTTGCTGTCTTCACTATATCTTGAAGTACAAATGTATCAGGCTTTTTTTTTCTTAACAAACTTTTACTTATATTTTATTGGTGGAAGAATTAATCTAAGAATTTAACAATTGGTTGCCTAGCAAGATACGCCCACTGATACATTTTCAGTATATCAAAGACGGCCACCAAACTATGTCAAATCATACCAAAAATCTAATTTGTGCAAGATATTGTTGATTTAAACAAACACAAAATTTCATAAAATATCATTAATCGAAAAATTTTCAAATTTAATCTTGACTAAGATCTCTTCATTATAAGTGATCACACCACATTTCATTTAAATCAGTTAAAATAAAAACTGTAGTCTCTATTCACTAGTTCTAGAGTATAGGTCACCTTCACATGTTACAACCCTTTCTCTCCTGTAATCAGTCAAGACAGGTATCATCTGAGTATGATACACTACCTTGTGGCATGTGGATACATCAATTCACCTATATCTCATGCCAGCACTAAGTCTTCAGATGGCAACACAAGTTGGAAATTTATTGAAAATAAGTGGGCTATTTGCCACACTCCCAACAAAATTTCCATCTTTTATACATTTTTACATCCTCATTAGCTCACTTGAAAGCAGGCCTGGAAAATTTTTACTATCCAAAGATCATGTGAGCCAAGGCTTAAATGTAAGATGAAACTGCAATTAATAAGTCGGTTAATGTCAGGGTAACAAATCTAATTTTGACGTATCTCCAATCTGATAAAACTAGATATTAAGTTTATATTACAAACTAATAATATATTATTGATCACTTTATTACAAGATGATGGTCAGTAGGAACGTCCACTACTGGTCAATCTAGTTAATATCAATGGACAGTGATTGATATAATAATCATTAATATAGATTGTAACATCCTGTAGACAAATAAATCATG